ATAATTATAATAATTTTCTACATTTTGGGCCATTTTCAAATGTTAGTCGTGATGTCCAGCAACGAGATGTTTTTCCATGAATACATATTAAAAAACAGACAATTTATTCCCAAAAATGGTAGCTGTCAGACTTACCCGTTTCTATTTAGACGCAGCGGAAAAGAAACAAGTTTATAAATAAATACTCTCAAATATACCCAAATAATCAACAAACCCACTCATGTGCCTTTTTTCTGTCCTCTATTAGTTGTATACCTGGATAGAATTGTGTATGTCATAACAGAGGCTCAAAACATAAACAGGTAAACAAATATGTTATTAAACCTGTAATTGAGATAAATTCTCTAGGTACTTCTCTGACGTATACCATATTGTGCCTTAAGAGCTCATCCCGCGATATCACAACTACATAAAAAGGCACCCCGTGGAGGCTTCTTACACTCACACTTAAAAAAGTTTGCTATAATCAATTGTACCTAATGCTACATATATATATATATAAATATATTGGGACGATCTTCACCTGTTCCATTCAGTTCATCTCTCTTAGTGTTTCAAGTTAAAAAGCAAGTAGTTTTTTACGATGGATAACAATTTCAAGTGTTGTAAACCTCCACCTAAATCAATTTCAAAGCATGACACAGTAGCAGTTCAGTTGTTTATCTCAAAATGATTAGAATTTTTAAAGTTGCAAATAACAGTCCAAAAGTGTATTTTTACGTCAGATGGAGCATCATCACAATACAGAAACATAAAATTTTTTGCTAGCATTTGTGGATTTAAAGATAAGCATAATGTAGAAATTAAATGGCATTTTTTTGCAACTTCACACGGCAAAGGTCATTGTGATGCGATTGGCGGTACCCTTAAGAGAATGGCAACCAGAGCAAGTTTAGCTAAGCAACACGAGCACCCTATAACGAACCCTTAACAACTGTACGACTGGGCAAATAGTCGTAAAGAAGATCTTCAAACAAAAATGTCATTTTGTTATGTTTCTACGGAAGAATACAAAAAGGCTGACACGGAATTTGATCCAATTTTTAAGAAAGTGAAACCAATTCCTGGAACTCGAAAATATCATTGCTATATTCCAGTTTCAAACAACCAAATTGCAGTAAAAATATTCTCTAATTCAAACGATACACCCAAATTATTCAATGTATTCAAATAATATGAGTTGTAAAATAAAATAATAAATATATACTGTTTTTTATCTCAACAAATCTTTCATTTGACCATATCAACGTGCTTCTCTTCCGCTGCCTCTAGACAGAAACGGGTAAGTCTGACAGCTACCATATCTGAGAATGAATTGTTTGTTTTTTAATATACAATCATGAAATAAAATCTCGTTGCTGGACATCTCGACGAACATTTGAAAATGGCCTAAAATGTTGAAAATTGTTATAATTATATTTTTTTAATTTGCATTAACTTGAGAACGGCTGGACTTAGGAAAAAAGTTCCTATATGCAAAGTTATTGAAAATTATGCGTAGAATCCAAATAAATTGTTATTTTTCCAAAAAATATGCATTTTCATCAACTTGCAAACATCAACAAAAGTTAAAAAAATTATAGATTTCTTTTTAAGGAAGTTACCGGCATACACTTTTCACCAAATTCAAGGGTATTCCATCAATTTTCTTGAAAAAAAAAATTATAAAGATCGAAGGGGGGGTGTTTTGAGATAATCATCGTTTTACGTTTTTTAAATACTAATTTACGAAGTTTTTTCTTTTAATGTATTTTTTCCGCAAAGATAATTTAATTACCTAAAACTTCTTCTCATATGCGGTTTTGATCAGATCAATAGTTTTCAAGTTATGATTTTTTGAATAAAAAATAATCAATTTTTTATACGCCCTTTTCAAAAGTTACTCTGGAGGAAAAAATCATATTTAAATGAAAAATGCAACCATTAGTAGCAGCGAACACGTGAGCAATGTTTCATTCAAATCAGAAGGGGTCGAGACAAAATTGACATTTTTTTTAACGATTTGAGCTAGAAATGCTCTATAGGAACATAAAAATTATTTCTATCAGCTGCTTCAAAAAAATCGACGTTCCGTAAAGTGAGTACAGAGTTATTAACAAATGAGCCAACCATGCTTGTGAGAGCATAGTGATTTTTTGAAACGCAAATTGTGTCTCATTTTAAGAAATTGTTTAATTTTCGTTAAGTTGAATCAGTTTCCCGGTAAACGTAGAATAACGTAGCTAATTCGTACGGAATTGTTTCCCGGGATGTCCGAGGTAGAAAACACTAGATGTGGCCTACTGCAATCATCATTATTCCCGTTTTCAAACGAATCGGCTACATCATAAAAATAATTAGCTTTTGTATAACGTATCCAATTCGTTCGAATACGGGACCCTATTCTCGAAAAACATGGGACTTACTTTCTTACTTAAATATCCTTAGTAGCTTCAATGCATTGCCCCCATAACTTGGAAGTTCTCAGCCAATTTTTAAGATCAATTCAAACGTAACTATTCAGAACGACGTATCTGATTTTGTAAACATCGATGATGTCACACTTCAATCGACGATTTGTGGCAACCGCTAGCTCACTCACAGAAACTAACAACACCAGCTAGTAGGGGAAAGATTCCCATAACTGATTTTGGTATTTGTTTGCGTGGGTGAGTTGGCAGTTTAGACAAATCGTCGATTGAAGTGATTGTTTACAAAAGCAGATACGTCGATTTGAAAAGTTACGCTTGAATTCCTTGTTTTGCCTTTGGCATCAACAGTCCAACACTGGGAGAAATCTCCTTGTGATTTTAAGCACTTTTGTTATTATAACTTCATAATTATTTATGAATACAATGAAAGTTAGCTAATAGTGTTATCCAGGAATGGAGAAGTAATGGTGCTCTGAAGATTTCTTAATGGAATTTTATATCCATGTGTAATTGAGAAGTAATTTTATTAGTTCGTTTCAGGATGGTGGTTTATATCCTTTAGTTCACTAAATTCTGCTTAGTCTAGTAAATTGATGCTCTACCAGATGATAATCTTTTAGTTTTTTGGTTTTGTTATCCCCACATCAGTAATTTTTACCGAAATTTACAGCCGGATGCTCAATTAATTTTTACTGAGATTTCAGAAAAAAAAAAAACGTTTCATAGCTGAGATTCAGCGCATTATTTTCCGGGATGTAACAGCTTTTTCCAGCTTTCCAGTGTGTTTTTCCTGTTTTCAGCTGTAACGACAATACAATTCTTGACTGTTCAGGCTGATTTATACTGCACCGCACCTTAAATCGCTTTCAAGTCACTTGAACACCGACCACCAGATCGGAAGTGACTTGAATCAATTCACTTGAGCCGTGTGTTTAGGTCGTCAAAGACAAGGCAAAGAAAGAGCTAACAAAAACATTCGGAAGCGATGCACCCAACAGTCACACGTAGTTAAAAAGTTCACTGTGGACTGGGGTGTATGAGCTTTGGAGGCATTGATTTTAACCAAATTTGAAAAAAAAACGTTGGTCATATTAAACTGACTTCTTTGCAATTGCGTATTTATAGATGTCATACACGCAATTATAAGTTTGAAAGATCTGGATGTTTCATGAACATGCGGTATTTATTTTATGCGTTTTCCGCCGTTGACTGACATAAAAGCGAGAGCGAGATCTCGTTCAATGAAAACAAAGCGTTGATAACAACGGCAATACAAAGCACGGAATAGGATCGATGGAACTGTATTCGCTCAAAGTAATTTGTTTAGAAATTCTAGACTTTCCATAATACCTCGTTGGCAATTTCTCCTCACAATATTTTAATGCAAAAATGGTATAGGCTTAGAAAACTCTCCACGCAGTGGTGAAATGTTCTAAAAACACTTTCACACACAAGTTGAGAGTAGGTGTAAACTTTCAGTTGGGACATAATAGTCAAGAAGGTTAAGCTCTTTACCGATATAGTTCAATTTGATTTATCCGATATAAATCCGAATCACCACGAGATCAATATCGCTCAACCCTTCCCACGGTGACCACGGTTTTCCCATCGTTTGAACATATAAAAAATAAAACACAACCTCTAAATTTACCACCTTCGTTGCTGTTCGTTACTACTTCTGCCGGAACGTAATGGAAAATAAAACAAGTCCAACTAGACTCATCCTCTCGATCTCGACTTTTGCAGTTTAATATCAATTACGAAAGCACATTTGTGACCATTTTGTGTGTATGTAGTTTCTGTCGGGTGAACGAATAGTGAACGATATGATCTGCTCCGCTCCACCCGGATACCAAGAAGTTGAGGGTAAGCAGTGCTGTTGTTATGATATCTTTCGGAGCGGCAGCACGTGGTGCTTGTGGATCGCATAATTAGTGCTCATAATGTGGACCACCTGGCCCTACAACTTTCCGTTGGTAGTGATGCGACATAAAGCAACAGGACCCGAAGCGCAATGTGTGTGTGTGTGTGTGTGTGGGTGTAAGTGTGTGGTTTTTCATACTTAATATAGTGCTCATGGGCGGTGAAGTGATAATGGTTGTGATGGGAATGAGAATTCAACTCTTTGTTTGCTATTATAAGATTTAGTACATTCAATCTCCTGACCTACATAGTGAATCTACGCGCCATGAAGCCTACAGTATGTAAGTGGTTTCATCTTGGATGACGAAGAAGGATAGTGAAAACAAGAAAGGATAGTGTTTTTGAAAGTACGTTTCAATTTATACAGAAGTATGTCAAAGAGAGTAGAGTTTACTTGGAGAGTATAGAAGTGAGACAGATGTGGATTATGACTAGGATTTACCATTAGTGTGATAATGCATTTTAAATGCTCTTTTGTGTACTGCCTAGAGTGTGTATGTGTGCTGGTTTCACTGATGGACTAGTTCCTGACACTAATGGCACTATCATGAATTTTATGTCGTTGGTGTAGTATATGAGAAGAGAGAAGCTGATAGTGCTCGAATGCATTGATGTTTCAAATTTCCTAAGGTGTTTTGCTTAAGTTCGAGTAATAGATTTTTGCTTTTGAAAATTGTTGCTTAAATTTATTCTTTTTTTTTTTGTTTGTTTGTTTAAGTCTAGATTCTTATAGAATTTGTTCTTGTAGAAGAAAGAGATGCATGCTTAAATACAGTTTTACTGGTTTAATTAGTTGATTCTTGTATTAACTAGATGTATTCTTTGTTAGGTAAGATTCCGTTCGAATATAGGTTGTTTTGGTTGAATACAATTCAAAATGTATGATAATAGACTCGATACTATAGTTGCATGAAGAAGAGGAGATAAAAATCTAAAATAAGTTGTGTTCAATAGAAGGTTCTTGTTGCTTTATTCTCTTCGTTATATGTCTTGTTTTAGTTTTCGCTTAGGTTTCGTTTCTTTGCATGGGAACAACTAGCTTCGCTTTTCTGCACATTATGATGCCTTTTCTTAGGATGTTTCTCCTTCGACTAAACATTTCCTATATAGAATGAATTTCGCTTATCTACGCCCCATCCGCTCTCTAATCTATTGTTGTTTTGCTCTTTAATGTTAGCATTCTTCTATATAACTATACATATTAATATATTCAACTTCAGTTGCGTCATCCGTTTAGCTAGGTAAAAACTTACCTAGACCTAGCATCAAGTGGGTTTGCTTCCTTTCCTATATTCTAAGTTTAATTTAGTTGGTTTACTTTTTTCGTCTTTTTTGTTTTCTTTTTATCTTTTTTTCTCGTTCGTAAAACGTAACTCCTAAAGTAGATGATTCTGTTTAGTTACCACTGCCTCTGTGTCTTTTTTTGTCTAGCGTATTAAGCGTACTTATTTAAAACGGACATACTAACACATCGTATTCAAACATGAGTGAAACGGCAACGAATACGAAGTATAACAAAAACATGATAAGCCCTAGGCTCTTGTTCATACGCCAGCGGAAGCAGGCTATCGACATGATGACAAACAGCAACATCAAGAACAGGATCGTGATCGAGCAGACCATGCCGACCGAGTTCACCTCCACCGGCTGGCCGTAGATGATGCCGTACAGAAGCCACGGGATGGGAAGGCTGCGAATGAGAGGAAGTTTGAAGATTATTTTCTCGATTATTGATGGAAAACAGAATCCATTCCAAATGACCAAATGTAATTGTATGCGTCTCCATGGATCAGCTAACATCATACGGTGTAATGCTGGATTCATTTCACTGCACAGGGGGTAAAAACGAGCACGAATTACCAGAGTAGAGACGTTGTTGGATTTCCTTATTAGAAATTTATCAATAAATCGATTGGGGCAGGTTTCATCCTTTGCCGAGCCCGGGAAGTGGCCCATTTTGCCCTGTGTCTTTTTGAGTTAGTATTCATATAGCTACAATCGGCGCTGATTTTTTTCTGAAACATTATAGGGAATCGAATGGTGCTGGTTTCATTCAGTGTCGGGTCCGGAAAATGGTCCATTTTGCCTCATTGCACACTAAATGTGCAATTTTTATGATTCTACCAAAGACCAGAAGGTCCCAAAGAAATGTGCTCAACTTTTTGGCTCAGCTCTGGTACTCTCTTCGGTCCCAAGCTAATCGATGCACCCCTCGAAACAAAGGAAAATCCACGAACCCCTCATTTTATCTGTCAAACTTTCATAGCGAATCAAAACAAACATAGTGTAGTACTAGAATTTTGACTAGAATGGGGTTCGTAATCGATTTGCTTGGGACCAATAGGCTAGTCAAGTAGTGAGCCAATTGGAAATCTTTAGTTCCCACCGGTTGGTTCAACGCCTTGGTCTTGTTGACAACTGTCAGTTGTTATTACGGAAGTGTTTAATTAAAATGTCTAGATACGTTGAACAGGATGTCTTTCTAACAGAGATATTGCGTTTACCTCAATTCAGAAAGAAGTAAAGAACGCGTGATCCAGCTCATTTCCGCAACAAACGGAACGATGCTTGGATCAAACTGTTCTTTCGACAATGAGTTGTTTGAGCAGCATAAGGAGTGGCTCGATTCGCCTATCGAGTGTTAATACATAATCACCCATATTCTCGTTTTCGTTCAAACCGTATTTTCCATACAAAAAAAGTTTTTTTGGATGTAAAACACGGGTTGAACGAAAACAAGAATATGGGTGTATATAAAAAAACTTGATATTATCCACCCAGTAGGATGTAACTAAAGTGTGTAAGCTTTTGGCATATTTATTTCATTCAATTTCAATACCATAAGCGTAAACTCGCAACCTTACGCTTAACTACGCTCGTGTTGCTTCAACAGAGGAAGCAGACGCTTCTGTAGACACTCCTTAGGTAGATCTCCCCGTTTACAGTTTCTTAGCAAACTTTGAAAGTTTCTGCTTCCTTACTTCCCCCGGAACATCAAACTTGTTATGGGCGGTGAAGAACAGTAGCCCCGGAAGCTGCCGGAAGTCCGCCGCTTAAGTCTCGTCATCCATGATAAGACAATGAGGCTTCGTCAGCATCTAGGTGTACAGTTTCCGGGCGCGTGACTTTCCCACCGTATTTTGCCGTTCGTCAGGATTTGGAGCCTTCTGCACTTTGTACGTATGCAGTCCCTCCCGGTCCTTGGCTCTTTGAACGAAAGACTTGGACAGATTCAACTTTTTGGCCACATCCCGTACCGAAGCATTGGTATTCCGCTTAAACGCTTTCACGACACGCTTATGATCCTGATCACTAATAGAACATCCATTCTGACCGCATTTATTCTTCCGTTCGATGCTAAGAGTTCCGTAGCAACGTTTAATCACACGACTCACTGTTAACTGCACGATTCCGAGTTGTTTTCCAATGTCGCGATGAGAGAGTTGAGGATTTTCCAGGGGCTTGCGCAAAATCAATTCGCAACGTTGCTTTTCGGGTGACGCCATTTTTTCCAACTTTCGAAAAACTGACAGCGATAAAAATACAGTGTAAACAATACACTCTAAGCTACTTCTATCCAAATTGTCAAGAGAAAATACCCAATGGATATTTTCTACAGCGATTTTTCCGTGATGCAATTTGATGTGGGACATCCTTTATTTTCACCCAATTTACTAATTGCAAATTGGTAAAAGCCAGCTCGTGCCGTGCTCTGTGTGTGCATTTTTCTTCTCTTGCTTGCTGCGTGCTGGCGTTCCGCCTCCCGGACGAAAGATGCTTGTCGAATGTTGTTGTCGTCGTTTTTGTGCGATGAGGTTGTGTTTCAGAAATGCAATCGAAGTGTGCCATGGCCGCTATTAGACGCGTTTGTTTTCGGTCACTGGAGTTTTCGGTTCTGATTTCGGCGCTGGTCACGAGTTGATTCGGCCGGTGAGGAGCTAGCACTGCATCTTACAAACTGTGTACTGTGAAATAAAGCCGTTGCTTCGCGAGTGATTGGTGATAGAAAGTGGACGCAATCCTTTTTTCCTCTGCTGAGGTCCCTCTAGTTGGAGTAGCTAGAGTATGTTTCTTGGTTTATGGGGCTTTACGGTGCTGTGTCTGGACAAAGTGGCGAGAGTGCTGTTTTTACCATTGGTTAAAGAAGTAGCGGCAACATACCTATGGTAGCTCTTCGAAATCATAGTGATGTCATGGGTTCCTTGTATTTCATTTCATGCAACCGAGCAACTTGTAAACAATGTTGTTTACAAAGATGGGCTTTTGTATACAATATTTGCTACATTGCATGAAATGTCTCAGAACTCTGTCCCAGCACAACCGACTTTACGGGATACAGCCCGAAGTAACGATTCTCAGAATGAACCATTCACAATGCTGGAATTTTCAATGGCACTTCTTTCATCGAATAACTCTGCTCTGGGAAGCGATATGATCAAATTCGACCTTCTAAAAAACCTCCCCGATATCGCTAAAAGACGATTACTTAGCGTATATAATTCATTTATGAAATTCAATACAGTTCCACCAGCATGGAGACAGGTTAAAGAAAATAGCTATTCAAAAGCCTGGGAAACCAGCGTCTGATCACAATTCTTACCGTCCGATCTCTATGTTATCATGCCTGAGGAAATTATTAGAAAAAAATGATCCTATTAAGACTTGACCATTGATTTGAATGAAACAACCTACTTTCAAATACGCAATTTGGTTTCCGAAAGAGTAAAGGAACAAACGATTTTCTAGCGATGCTTTCATCAGATATTCAACTGGTCTTTGCGCACAAGGAGCAATTGGCTTCAGTCTTTTTGGATATTAAGGGTGCATTTGATTCTGTTTCCATAGACATATTGTCAGACAATTTGCACAGTAGTGGATTACCCGGTATTTTAAACAATTTCTTGTATAATTTGCTGTCAGAAAAACAAATGACTTTCAATCTAGGTCAACTGACAACTGCTAGAATTGGCTACATGGACTTACCCTTTCGTTCATGTATAAGTCCTTTACTTTATAATTTCTATGTCAAAGATATTGATAACTGCTTAGATAATCGATGCACGCTTAGACAGCTTGCAGACGATGCCGTCCCAACAAACATTGACAGTTGAATAAGAGCTTATTCAGGCAAAATTATGCTTTTTCAGCTAAAAAATAGCTTATTCAGCTATTAATCAGCTCAAATTGTTTGTTGGGGTGGTTTCCCTGATAGGTCCACGTGCGGAAATCTTGCAAAGACCATTGCAAAATTCCAGGGTGGCCAGCAAACCGGGAATTCTGGGAAATAATCGGGAATTTGAAAAGTAACCGGGAAAACCCGGAAAAACCCGGAAAACCCGGGAATTCGACGAGAACCGGGAAAAATAAATATACCATACCATAGGAACAAATTTTACACCAGATTTTGAGAATAAACCATTAAAATAGAGTGATCCTTTACCAAATGAATGTCTTGCTCTATTTGTTACATAATTTTCTTCAGTTTCCCGTCTTCTTGTTTTAGAATTTAATCACTCATCAATATTGCAAATTGATTTTCGTCGTTTCAATTTCAGATGTAAAGTGCATGCTCCTTGAAAAAAATATTGAAGATGCTGGACTTTGGAAACAAATATTTGTAAAAACCGAAACTGAATTATTCTTTTCCGGGGTTTCAATTTTTCCTCGTTCGAAATTCTATGATATGATATAAATTCCAGAATTAACTTGGAATTCCGCTCTAAATTATCATGGAATTCTTCGGAAATTAACCAGAAAACACTCCGCGTAATAATTACCGTTGAATTCTTTTTTGGAATTTCCTTGAAACCCCTTCAAAGAATTTGATTGGAATCTTTCTTAGAATTCCCTTGAACCTATTCGGAGACTTTGATTCCTTTGGAATTATTTTTTAAAATTTCTTTGAACTCTATTCAAAACAGCAGAAATCTTTCGAAATTTTATTTAGAAACCATTTGGAGTATTTTAAAGAATTTGTTTCTAATTTTCAGCAAATTATTGCCAGAACAATCTTAGAACTCTGTTTCTTGTTTAATTCTGATCATAATTCTCTTGGAATTCTTCTTAAAATTCATCTGTCATTTTCCTCACGATCCCCACACAAATCTCCTCAGAATCACGTAGGAATTTTCGTTAAAGTTTTGTTTTCCACAATTCGTTTTGAAATCTTCTAAAATTACCTTCAATTTAATTTAGAACTTGCATTCTTCTCCACAGAAATCCCTCCAAATTTATCTTATAATTTCTAAGGACTTCATGTCAGAATAATTCTGAAATTCTGCTCAGAACTTCTCCTTCGAAAACTGTGTGGGAATCCTTCTCAATATTTGTTTGAAATCAACACTTTGAATTCTTTTAAATTTTACTACAAATTCCAGGGTTTGTCCGCAAGATTCTATAGATTGTTCTGTAATTTGTTATAACCCTTAAAATGCTTCCAAGTCTCAGAGCGTGACAATTATGACTCCACGAGTCATAAGTATTATTTATTTTTTTTTTCAAATCTGTGATCTTGAATTTTTTTCAAAATTTCACAGTTTAATTATGTTTTCACAAAGATTGCTTAGTATCACAAATTTTGAAGAAAAGCTTATTCGTTAATCACTTTTTTATCCTTTCAGTAAATTCCTTTCAGCAAGTATTTTTTTTAAATACGTTCAATTTCGTTATTTGTTTGTTATATCCGTAACC